GTGATGGAATTGCGACAGAAATTAGTGACGGAAAAGTTCCGTCACTAATTTCTGTCACGGAATGAGAGTTAGTGACGGATTGGTGATAGAAATTAGTGACGGAATTTTTTCGTCACTAATCATTTAAGATGAAATTAGTGACGGACTTGTGATAGAAGTTAGTGACCGAATAAGATTCCGTCACTAATCCTTTACTAATTTAGCGACAAAAATTTTCCGTCACTAAATTCTGTTGCTAATTTTGTGACGGAATTTGTGAAGGATTAGCGACGGAATTTTATTCCATCGCTAATACCTTGTTTTTTGTAGTGCCTCTAGGCGTTAATGTAACATGTAGTTGTGAATTCGATGTATTATTGCTTGGGCCCAAAGAGAGTATTTGCGGTAATATTTTTCTTTTTTAGGTATAGGTATTTTTCTATTAGAGGTAATTCTGTTCGAGATACTATCGGACACTAAATATAAATATCTCTCTCAACAAATTTTGAATCTTAATTTGCTACGTTGTGAGAGATTGACCTGTCAGTTATCTGATCCCGTTGGTATTGAATATGTCGGAAGGAAATGAGCATGTGTGTGTTCTTTTTAAATATACTTTTCTAAATAAATAAATAAAAACGTATGTTTGTCAAGTGAACTTGTGGAAGATACAAGTGAGTCCATAAGATAAGATTAACTTAAATCAACTACCAAAGAAGGAGTCATCTTTTTAGTTAATTAATTTCAATGCATATAAGCTAAGGAATAATGACAAATGTAGATGGTGAAAACTGCAAAATCCTAAATCAATATTTCTTATAATACTTTAACAATTTTTTTTTATAATAGTTGACTTGCAAATAGCAAAAACATATATCAAAATAAGGACTGGGACAAGCTACTCATCCCGATGAATAAAGATGGGAAGGGATTTCTATCCTGCATCCCGTCCCAATATTATCCCAGTCCTAGTCAGGACAGGATAGGACCGGGACATCCCGTTTTAGTTTCTTCCCCCCCCCCATACTGGATACTGGACCTGTGGATCTAATTATGATTGGGCTTATTCCATTGGATTGCATACAGCCCAACACTTTTAAGTTTTGTTGGTTTTTTTTTTCCTGTTTCTATATCTTTGGGCTTAGCCCTCTTCAAAATCATATAAATATTATATTGGAATCTTATTATTTGAACGCATTGGTTGGGACACTTGTGGCCAATGTTCAAAAAACTGGACCGGACACTGAACCGGTTAAGATAGTGGTTCAAGGGTTATTGAGTCAAGTTGTGGTCAAATCGGAATCAAACCGGTAATTATTAAAATAATAATTTAGTTCAAATGTATAAAGTATTTATATTTAAATATGAGAAAAAATATCTAATCTTATTTAAACTATGCTCTTTATGTATATAAATTCTTTCTTCTTTTCATTTTTTTAAAAATTTCCTTCATGTCATGTGACCACTCTTATATTTTCTATTTCTTTTCTTGTTCTTTTTTACTCTCTCTCTCTCTTACTTTATAGGTTGAGTGTTTAACACTCTAAAGTGTGGGAGCACAGTGACAGACTTCTCTTCCTGTCTTGACTTTCTGATTTCCAGCAGCGTCCCTCTTCATCTTCATTTATGTGTGTGACGGTCTAACCCATTTTTCTGATAGCTTCCATGGTTTCTTCATTCTTCCTACGTAGATGCGAGCGGCTCTTAGCAAAAGAGAACAACGATGACAGAATAAATACGGCAGAGCACCAGTGACGGTCTTCTTTCCTCCCCTTGTCTCGGTCCTCCATCCTCCTCCTCTCCCGCTCTTCTTCCTCATCTCTTTTTTTTTCTTGGTTGCTAGGAAAAATATAAGCAACCCGGAGAGACCCATCAAACCAACGGTTTAGTCCGGTTTTCACCGGGTTTCTCCAGTTCAGGCCGAGTTATACTGGGCTAGTCTTCCCTTGGTTTAAGAGGTGAACTAGACCGGACAACTGGCCGGTTCACCGGTTTCCGGTCTGAACCAGCTGGTCCGGTCCGGTCCGGTTTTTTGAACCATGCTTGTGGCCTTATCTGAAAGAACAAAAACTAATCTGAAACAGAACCGAAATTGAATCAGATAAAAGAGAATAGTCAGAGGGAATCGAATGGCAGCCACAGGGACGTGAAGGGAAGAATATGAGGCAGAGAGGAAACCGAATTCACAAAATCCTCGACACCTCCCAGGCCCCAATTCTTTCATCTCTTGGCCCATTAATGTGATCAAAGTCACCATCCGTACTTATTGGTGGCCCATTAACATGATCAATGCAGGTTGGGTCACTACTTATCGGCCAGCCTGCCACTGGTTGAAGTCCATGCAAGTTGGGCTTAGAAGACCTACCTCCTGGCGGATTGATATTCAATCGATCCACATTTCTATTTTTACACATATATTTTAAAATTTTCTAAATATTAATTCTACTTATTTTTATATTTTTACATAATTATATAATTAATCAATCTCAAGACTTACAAATAATATAAACATATAATCTATTTTTAATATTTATTTTATTAATATAGAAATGATAAAATAATTTTTAAAAAAAGAAATCAAATATAGAATCAAAGCCCCTAACTAAGGGTGGAAACAGGCCAGGCCTTGCTCTTAACAGGCCAGGCCTGTTTTGGAGCCTATTGACCTGAGCCTGGCCTGTGGCCTGTTACAGGCTTATTTTTCAGCCTGAGCCTGGCTTGTGTAAAGGCTTGGCCTGGCCTGAAGCTTGTTAAAAGGCCTGTATTTTTAAAAAATTCAAATTATAATAATTATTTTTTTAAAAAAGCTAAGATTAAAAAAACGTACATAATAATTAAATTTTTAGTCTTGTCTTTTATTTAAATTTTAGTATCATACCTACTATTTTAAATCTTAATTATAATTTATAAGAATGTTATTGAAAACTAATTGTAATTATATGTTAAAATTTGGAATAAGACTACGTTTAAGTACACACAAAAAATTAAAATTAAAACAAATAAATAAAGAGGAAAAAATAATAATTTTATAATGAATAAAGAGGATATCATACTTAAATTAACATAATACGTAAGTTAGTTAATTTATCATTCTTGAAACAAAATTTTTCTTTCCTATTTTTTTTATATTTTTAAGATTTAAAAATCACATTATTTATTAATATTATTATTTTAAATTATATTTTTATCTTCACTTGTCATCTAAACTTCAAAATCTAAGAAAAGATTAAGCTATTAACTATATATTAAAATTAAAAAATAAATTAAAAAAACACATTAACAATAATAGCATTAATTAATTTTTTATATATTATAATTATAAATTCTTAACAGGCCCAGTCCGGCCTAACAGGCTTAACAGGCTTTTTAAAAAGCCTAAGCCTAGCCTGTTTAACTAAACAGGCCTTCAAACAGGCCTGAGCCTATCATTTTTGGGAAACAGGCCAAGCCAGGCCAGGCCAAATGCAGGCCAGGCCATAGGCCCCTGACAAGCCGCCTGGCCTGTTTCCACCCCTACCCCTAACAAAGTGCAAAACTATATTTAAATTAAGTGAAAATGATAAAAAAAATTTCTTATTAAAATTAAAATAAAAACTTCCAAAATTTTTTTTAAAAAAAAAAGGTTAGCTCATGACGAATTGTGAGTTGGCGAATATGGGCTAAAAAAGATTTGCCTCAAAACAAACTCACATTTTATCAACTCAACACGTCATTTTTTGACAAGTTGAACCTGCAAATTCAACCTACATTACCACCTATGCCATAGTGTAATTAGACCCTTTCATGACATTAAGAATTACGTCCCATTAAAATCAACCTTGTCCTCCTGATCCAAGAATGCATATTTTGACTGTGCTGATCAACAAAATAGAACCAAGTAGCTTTCAAAAGCTTAAGTAGTCGTTGCCACCTTGACATGGAAAGATAGAGAGACATTGACATAATGACAACTAGAATGCAAGCCGACATTGAAAATCCATTAACTGTCTCGAGGCTTGGACACATGTTGGGCCGAGCGCAGAACACATATGTAGCTCTAGGACATCCACTTTTCTCTATGACCCAAGCAAGAACTAGCCATATAGAGAGATCCAACCCATTTCAGGAAATGAAAATACAAGTGACCCAAGAAGTTTTGAAATAATTAAATGCATAAGTAAATTCCGTCTTTGGCAATCCCAAAACACAAAGCATCGTTTATAAGTAGATCTTTGCCCTTCTAATAATAAGTTGATGTTCAAATCGCTATACATAAGAAGAAGCTTCAGTAATAATGACTCTTCCATCTTTAACTAAAAGACTGTCATGAGATTTTACAAAATGATCCAACGTTGAACACATGGTGTCCTTAAGAATGAGGTCGAAAGTAAAGACAAAGCGAGGTTGTGATGTCCAGAATGGTCATCGTACCAATGTCTTCTTTCTCCTACTCAGCCTCTTGTTTACAACATTTTATAGTTTTGGATTTACAACGTTTTATAGTTTTGGAGAAGCAAACTTGTAGCAAAATGGTTATTTCTCATTGCAAGCTTTTCTTGAACATCATCAATCAATCAATCCTTGCAACCATCCATCAAAATCCTTTGTACTGCGTGATATTTAGCAAGTGAAAGCATATGAAAAACCCTTGTGCTTGTCATTGTGCAAACCAAACCAATTCATAATATGGAAGGAATGAATGATGTACTAAGATCCATGAATTTTAATTTGAAAATATGAATACGAGTGTTTTTAATTTTATAATTCCTACTTCATAGCTGAAACAGAATATCAATACTTTTTCAGTGAACAAGACAGAAAAAGTCACGGGAGCAACATATCAAACACATGGTACGCATCTTAATTATACAAACTGCACTGTTGACTAACTAGAAATGCAAGGACTAGGATCTAAGACCATTAGAACACTCGAGCCAGCTCATATGTTGTCCTCTCAAAAAGCGGCCTAATAGGTTCTCTGAAAACAGCTTCTTCGTGAAATGAGAAAATGTAGACACTAGCAATAGTATATTCACCCAAACGATTTGCCTCCTATATGTCCATAAGTTCATATTTATGAACGCTTATACATGCGTACACACAAACTTCAGGTGAATCACAAAGCACGATCTCTGGCTAGTTATCATAGTTTGCTAATTATCATGTTGTTCTCTAACTCTTTCATAAATATCATCATAGATTTGCGTGGCAAGAAAATTGGTACGACAATGCCTTCTTCTCCTTTTGCATTCTTATGTGGAACAAAGAAGCTTGCTCCAAGGAAGTCTCCAGCACCAGGCATTGCTGGTCCACCATATATTGCCTTACCCCAACCAAAATCAACGTCTTCAAAACCAGCACGGGTTACATCAGACACAGCCCAAGCCCTTAAGGGAGTAAGACTAGGCCGTCCTTTAATCACCATGAGATCTGCTGCAGATTGTATGTACTCTACTGTTGCCATAGCTTTTGATTTCTTGACCAGCTCTAAAGCATACCCAAATGAGTTTCTGCAGAGTTTTCCGGCGGTGGTGACGACGGCCGGGAACACGAAACCGTTGCCGTAATAACCCGATGGTAGCAATGGAGGGTTCGACTGTATACCCCTTACATTTCTAGTGGCCATGAAACGAACCTCCTTGTGTGGTTCGAGCCGTAAAGCTATGGTGCGACAACGCCATATGAATGCTGTGAGTACTTCAAAGGTAGAGTTTTGATGATGTTGGTGATGAGGGAACAATCGATGAATGGCTTTTAACTGGTTAGGACCAAAGAAGAAAGAATCGTAGACCATGTCTTCGTTTCTTGTTTCATCATCGTCATCATTTGGCACTTCATCGTACTCGGTATGGCTGCATGTAATACGAGGTAGGTCCCTCGCAATTAGTAACTCTCTGCGCCAAACTGGAGGGATTGAAGGTTCACAAGCACCTTGTGCTATCTCAGCTAAAGCCTTGAGGAACTGAACAAGACCAGCACCATCACTCATAGTGTGGTTTAAGCGAAGAGCGAAAATGAATCCACCACACTTCAGACGTGTAACCTTAATTAAATGTAAAACAATAAGCAACATTAACACATGTCGGAGTAATTTAAGGCGAACACTATCCTTTTTATGATATGATTGTTAAAAACCGTAGAGTTTGGAACTTTAAATAACGTCTGAATGCTTGACGGCTGTGAACATTCAAATTAATGAGAGAAAAAGTATATGAGTAAACCTGTATGAGTAAGAGGGGACAATTAGTGACTCCTTCTGAACCAGGGACATTATAAAGAAGCTCTTCAAAGCAAGGGAATGGAGGTTTAAGAGGGTCACCAAATTGGTGAAGAGAAACATCTGCATCAGCTTCAATGAAAATGACTCCTTCTTCATTACAATCTACCATAAGTTTGCGACCAGGCCCTTCCCTAAGTCGACCTGCAAAAGGATAGTAAAAGACTAGGGTTTTAGCGAGTGCTTTTTTTATAAGCTTAGCAGGGTCCTTTCTTGCCATGGAAGGCTTGTGAGGATAAAAGAAGAATAATGGAATTTGAAATCTTAGAGATGCTTGGTCATCTATGTCAGAGAGTAACTTAACCACATGAGGGGTAGGCTTGGCCGGAGCCACCAGCTCTGGTTGGCACCTCCTCACAGTGAACTCTATAGTTGGTGAAAATGGTTTGGCCATTTTATGTGCCAACCAAAAAAAGCTTAATGAACTACGGAGGGAGGATGATGGGAATGTTAGCTTCTTTGCTTTGGGTTCATGGTGTAAGTATGATGAGAATATTTATAAGGGAAAAACATACAAAAATTATATTACCATCCAAATATGCGAATCCCAATAATTTAGACCCTGAAATGACTTAATTGCTGTGAAGTCCTTATCAATTAATTTGGAATTAAATTTTATAGTAATTAGCAAAATTGCCTACATCACTGAATTTAAAATCTAATAAAAAAACAAAATGACCACATCAACTTAACAAATAATAATTTTAACTTATCAAATTAAATGGCGACAACAATTAAGTTAGTGACAATTAAAGCCACGTCATTATGCGACAGAAACAGACACCTTATTTAATTTTTTGGCCAACCAATTGTGATATCTTTAATTAATGGCGTGAGGTTTCACAACTTCTTATCCAAGAACCAAGCAGATATACAAAGACCTAGGTGGTGTGTACTGCTTTGCAGGTCTTAATCAATGCACACACACCTTTTCGTTTTATGACCTTTCCGTGGGAGAACACGTGCATGTGACACACACACACACACACACACACGCAAAATGATGTTACGTACGTCGCGGAGCCCATGAAATATGTTGTAGATGTGAATTCTGTCGTATTTGATGCGTCATTGATTTGGCCCACGAGAGCATCTGTGATAATATCAATATATGTAATGTTAGCTCTGTATAATATCAACATATATAATGCTCTCTCGAAAACACTTCTATTAGTTCTGTTTAACACCATAGGTTATATCAGTTTAGATGTTACTCATTTGATACTTAATATAAGAACTAATTAATTAATTTGAGTAGATTAAAAATGACAGCCAAATTAGTTAATATGATGTGCTTTTTGTAAAATACCTTGAGTATCTTCCTTAATTTTCTCCTTCTCTCCCCTACATAATTATTGTTGGAGGAATATCAACAAAGTTAGTTTAGAAAACAATTTGATAAACATGTATGTGAAATAGGTCTTACATATAGGACCACGCTACTACAAAAATATTTGATTTGTAGTGCCTGTTTTGTGGCATTTAATTAACAAACTGTTACAACTAATACTCATTAATTTATTAAAAAAGCATATTCTTTAGCATTTTTCTAAAAAAGTGATACAGCTAGTATGATGCTTCTTGTAGCCCTTTCTCAAAAAAACACTACAAAAGCATTTTTTAAAAAAATAAATATCTCCTGTAGCATTGGTTAAAAAAACACTACAAGAGATGCCACTTGCTATAAACGCTATACCACGTGACATAATTTTTTTTTATTTCTCTCTTTTTTTTATTTTTCCTCTTTTTTTCCCCACACCGTCATACCTCACTACTCCCACTGCTCGTCTTCACCATTTTTTCTTGTTTTCCATTTCTCCACAACTCCCTCCTATCTCCACACTCACCTTTTCCTTTTCACCAAGCGTCCTCACCACTCTGTTTGTACCTCCCATTTTCCCTTTCCACTTCTACTTTTCATACCCATTATTCTCACCTCATTCTTTTGTCTCCACCCACGGTCCTCATCCCATTTTCCCCGTTCTTATTCCTACCCTTTTTCTGTCCCCATATCATTTTTCCTTCCTCATTCCTACCTCCTTCCCGTCCCTACCCACAGTCCCCGCCCTTTTCCCTTCCCAACTCCCCCTTCCTTATCCCTATTCCAACTTTCCCTTCCCAACTCCCCTTTCCTTGTCCATATTCCAACTTTCCCTCCACACCCCCTTCTTGTACCCACCTTTCCCAATCCCTATTTCTATTTTTTTTTGTCCTCACCCCTCTTCTCCATCCCCAATCTCTTTTTACTTTATTTATTTATTTTTTTTACAGGGTATTCAATGTAGTTCTACTCAATCTACAATGCATTGTAGATTTTTATTCCCTTTGTCCTGACCCCTCTTTCCCTCCCACACTCTCTTTTTACTTTATTTATTTATTTTTGCACAGAACTCAATATAGTTTAGTTCAATCTACAATACATTGTAAGTATTTTTATTTTTTAAGCTAATTTTATTTTAAAAGCTTACAAATTTAAGTTTGTTAGTAATAAATATTTTAACTTGCTTAATATTTTTTATTTTAGTTGGTTAGATTTTGTAAAATTATTCATTGGTGAAAACTTGAAGTATGTCAGAAAATTAATGAGATATGATTAATTATTATCAGTTACATGTGGAAATGTGTGATAGTTATAATTTTTTATTTTCTATTTTAGGTGGAATAATATGTTGGCAAATATGATCTTTATTGTTATGGGCTGTGAAAATTGATGGCATATGCCATATGAATTATTTAATTAAGTACCATTAGTTAAAAAGAAGTTTTAGGACCTGAAATTTTTAAGTTGTTATACTATTAAATTTTATTAAGGTAAAGAACATTATTTAAACAACTATTTACATAGTTTTGTAATATGATATTGTGAGATATGCAAGTTAAAATGGTATAAAGATATGAGACAACAAGAAGAATAATTAAAGAAGTAATGTCACAATATTTAATTTGTTGGCTTTTAATGCTTTTTATTTTAGATTTGATATATGTTGGCAAATATGATTTTTGTTTTGTTTTCAGTTGTGGAAAATCATTGAGTTGTGCTGGATTAATTAGTTGATTATATACTATTAGTTAAAAGAGATGGCTTGAACCTGGGAAACTTCCACTAGATGCCCATGCACGTCTGTGTATATTTGTATGATTGAAGAACCAATTTACTTTCAACTTTATTTTGTTAGTGCGTTGATTGGCTATCGAGATTCTGCATCATCGGGTTATAATAAAGCCCCAGACACCGCAAAAAGCTACGTGTGGAAAGAGATTAAGTTATCTATTTAAATTTACTCAAGTTTTGAAAATAAACCACTTGCATTCATAAATTGATTTAACTATTTGATGATATTGCTGCAGTGTGCTTTCCAACCCAATAATAATTATTGTGGTTACTATATTATGAGATTCATGAAGGATATTATTACTCATGATCAAACTTTTATTCTTAATAATGTAAGTAGTTTTAATTAGTTTAACTTTATATTGTTTATTAACTTTAATTATTGTCTAATAGTTAATTTTTAGCCATTTTAGTTGGCTGTGTAAATTATTGCGCATTATTATGCAGATGCACATTACGCAAAGTACACTAACAACCAAGTAAATGAAGTCATTAATTGAAGAGTAGTGTAGATATATGTGTTCCAACAATACTTTATATGAGCGCGTTGTTTTTATAGCTTCTCTTCTATGTTTCACCTTTAGTTGAGAACTAAATAAAAATATAATACTAGTAAGTGTAACCATCACTGTTAGATGTATTTATTATATTGTAGAATTAGAATTATATTGATCTTGTTTACAACTGCTGTCAATATACATAGCAGTGATCTAAGTTTGCTAATTAATTAGCTATGTTGTTCTGATAATTATATTGTATGTATTTGATCTCTGAATTTTGCTGGCAGTTGAGAAATTTCTATGTAAAGTTTTTGTAAATGTGGTTTTGGAAATTATATAGAATTTTTTTAAAACAATTATATATTATGTAGCATTTCATTAAAAAAGTGCTACAGAATATCAATCAATTTTTTAAAACAAAAAATACTTATGTAGCACTTCCTTAACAAAGTGCTACAGAAATGATAACTTGATATAGTGCTTACATGTTCTGTAGCGCTTTCCTGAGAAAGGGCTATAAGAAGTGAACTTCCTAAGAAAGCACTATAGAAAGTTACTGTTTTAAAAAAATTTAAAAAAAAATTTGTAGTCCTTTTAGAAGCGCTACAACTTATTCCCAACATCTTTCATAGCAGGTTTCAATGTAGCATTTTGAAAATACTACAAAAGTGAAAAAATAAGTGCTACAGTTAGCTTTTTCTGTAGTAGTGCCAATATTAACTCTCTAATTAGCTTTTATATTAAGAACAGGAGAAGTAGGTAAATTAGTTTGTGACTGATACAAAAAATCCTAGCTGCAATAGCAATGATATGATATGGCATCTATTAAGTTCTTTTAGATATTTTGGGAACCAACTGGATGGTATCACTACTCGAAAAAAAGCCATTTAACAGTGGTTAAAATGGGCTTTCTATGGTGGTTTTGGAGCCACAGTGAATTCTGTTAACATTGTAAAGAGAAAATTTCAAAGCGATTTATAACTATAGTGAAAAAAAACTTTTCACGGCGGTTTATATAAAAACCACTGTGAAAACCGCTATGGAAAGTTAACTTTTCACTACAGTTTTATGAAACAAACCACCGTGAAAGGTTTGTTTTCAACGATGGTTATAGTATTTAACCACTGTTAAAAACTCATTTCACAGTGATTATCCAAATAACTGCCACGAAATGTTTGTGAATTTTTTTTACATACTGTGCTGAATTTTCTATATGACCTTGCTGCAATTTACAAACCAATTCCAACTGGCATAGCAAAAAAATGCCAAAACAATTCAAGACGTAAATTCAATCTTAATACTAACATCCAATTCTTATTCAATCAACTACACCTAATAATCAACAACTTAACTAGTTAATAATTAAACAATAAACTTAAATGTGAATTACTTAACTGTTTCATATTTTCAAAATTCTCAAGCAATATTGTTGACAAAGTATCCATCGTTATGTTGATTTCCTCGGTTTCATGTGGCACATTATCTTGAAATGCTTGTAAATTAAAAATAATATAGTCATTAGTTAACTTGATCAAAAATGTGAAAAGAATTAAAAAAATTACAATGTAACTTATATTTACCTCGTCTAACTTCCTAATAACCCATGTCTCAATATTGTCATTCATATAGCGGATGACATAATATCGCATTCAATACTCCCGAGTTGACAATGGTACTAACAAAATGAAACATAAAATTGAATATCTAATTTTGATCATCTAAAAAAATTTATCAACATTAACTTTGATTATTTAAAAAATTTATAAACATATACTTAGCTCA